AGGACTAGAAACGATTTAATTTCGAAGGATAACAGAGCCTTGAATGCCGCCTGACTGTCACTAAGAATTACAATCCTCTAATTACGGTATCCTCTATTAATGATGGTCTCCGCACACAAGTAGATGGCGTAGACTTACCTCTTCCATGACCCTCTCTAGTGAAATTGAGCAGAGTTCTTTTGGCCGCCAGTTCTATAGTTATGTACAGGGGCTCGACTTCAAGGACCACTTCTAGCGCTGTCGTCGGACACGTGCGCATCGCTCCCGTTATGCATACATATGCCAGTCGTTGTAGCTTAGTGAGCGATTGTCTCCCAGTAGCCAGAGTAGTTCTTGAAACCCAGGCCACTGCCCCATATNTCTATAATGCAAAATTTTCGTCCAAGCGACGAAAAAATTCTTGTTCTTTTTTTCTGATTTGCATCTGTGCCCAGCGTTGCCGCCTGGCTTGGATTCAAGAATAATTTATAAAGTTTTTCCTGACTGTTAGATAGATAATTTATGAGGTATGCACTGCGACCTAATGATCTATTGTGCCCTCCACTCTTCACAATACTTTCTCCAAGCCAACATCCTCCAGGAAGTCCCAAAGCTTCTTTGGGTATAAGGAGTGAATGTGCTCTAACTGTGGCCACATGGAGCCCAAACTCCTCTCACGTCTTCTGCTGACTGCATCACACTCAATGAGGATGTGGAGTTGCGTTTCACTGGAGACGTCGCAGAACCGGCAAAGGTCATTCGGTCGTAACCCCAGTTTATACCTATGCCCTCCCAGTCTGCAGTGTCCTGTAAGAAAACCTGTTAATATTCTCAGCCTCTCCTTTGGGAGGCTAATTAAGCTTTTGAATCTAACCTTGTTGTACCCTCCTAGCAGGCTTTTTGCCTGTCGCATACCTACCGAACTCTGCCAGTTCGAGTCCCTCATATTGTACCTCTCCTCCCTGAGCTTTTCCGTAATAGTGTTGGAACCCACTCCCAGGAAGGGCTCAGGGCTAATTGAAGTAATGGCTGCCGCTTCTCTAGCGAGATAGTCCGCCGCTTCATTCCCCTCCATTCCCATATGGCCAGGCACCCACGCCAGTTTGACGTTGTTGTGCCTACCAAGGGAGTTGAGCCTCTCTATGCACTCAAGGACTAGAAACGATTTAATTTCGAAGGATAACAGAGCCTTGAATGCCGCCTGACTGTCACTAAGAATTACAATCCTCTAATTACGGTATCCTCTATTAATGATGGTCTCCGCACACAAGTAGATGGCGTAGACTTACCTCTTCCATGACCCTCTCTAGTGAAATTGAGCAGAGTTCTTTTGGCCGCCAGTTCTATAGTTATGTACAGGGGCTCGACTTCAAGGACCACTTCTAGCGCTGTCGTCGGACACGTGCGCATCGCTCCCGTTATGCATACATATGCCAGTCGTTGTAGCTTAGTGAGCGATTGTCTCCCAGTAGCCAGAGTAGTTCTTGAAACCCAGGCCACTGCCCCATATGTCACTATTGGCTGTACTATCATGGTGTAGAGCCATCTTAGGATCCTGGGGCTGCAACCCCAGGATTTTCCCGACAGACGCTTACACACCAATAATGCTTTCGTAGCCTTGGATGTGGCCTCATCCACATGTTTCTTCCATAGAAGTTTGGTGTCCAGGATTAGTCCTAGGTACTTCACTTCGCTGGCGACATTGGCCAGGACCCCATCCAAGGTAATGTCCCTCATGCCCGGTAGGGCCCTTTTCCTAGTGAAGGGAACGATGGCGGTTTTTGCTGGGTTTATACTCAGCCCTAACTTGGCACACCATTCCCTTGTTAATCTTAGGCCTCTTTGAACGATGTCGCAGAGGGTGCTCTCAAACTTCCTCTAGCAATGATNGCTTTTGAATCTAACCTTGTTGTACCCTCCTAGCAGGCTTTTTGCCTGTCGCATACCTACCGAACTCTGCCAGTTCGAGTCCCTCATATTGTACCTCTCCTCCCTGAGCTTTTCCGTAATAGTGTTGGAACCCACTCCCAGGAAGGGCTCAGGGCTAATTGAAGTAATGGCTGCCGCTTCTCTAGCGAGATAGTCCGCCGCTTCATTCCCCTCCATTCCCATATGGCCAGGCACCCACGCCAGTTTGACGTTGTTGTGCCTACCAAGGGAGTTGAGCCTCTCTATGCACTCAAGGACTAGAAACGATTTAATTTCGAAGGATAACAGAGCCTTGAATGCCGCCTGACTGTCACTAAGAATTACAATCCTCTAATTACGGTATCCTCTATTAATGATGGTCTCCGCACACAAGTAGATGGCGTAGACTTACCTCTTCCATGACCCTCTCTAGTGAAATTGAGCAGAGTTCTTTTGGCCGCCAGTTCTATAGTTATGTACAGGGGCTCGACTTCAAGGACCACTTCTAGCGCTGTCGTCGGACACGTGCGCATCGCTCCCGTTATGCATACATATGCCAGTCGTTGTAGCTTAGTGAGCGATTGTCTCCCAGTAGCCAGAGTAGTTCTTGAAACCCAGGCCACTGCCCCATATGTCACTATTGGCTGTACTATCATGGTGTAGAGCCATCTTAGGATCCTGGGGCTGCAACCCCAGGATTTTCCCGACAGACGCTTACACACCAATAATGCTTTCGTAGCCTTGGATGTGGCCTCATCCACATGTTTCTTCCATAGAAGTTTGGTGTCCAGGATTAGTCCTAGGTACTTCACTTCGCTGGCGACATTGGCCAGGACCCCATCCAAGGTAATGTCCCTCATGCCCGGTAGGGCCCTTTTCCTAGTGAAGGGAACGATGGCGGTTTTTGCTGGGTTTATACTCAGCCCTAACTTGGCACACCATTCCCTTGTTAATCTTAGGCCTCTTTGAACGATGTCGCAGAGGGTGCTCTCAAACTTCCTCTAGCAATGATTACTATATCGTCCGCATAGCCCTGGCCGCGGATACCATTGTCAGAGAAACGTTGAAGGAGTTCATCCACTACCAGGCTCCATAGAAGGGGGGAATCGCTCGAACGAGCCCAGCGCCCTTCCGACTGAATTCTGGGTGAATAAACTTCTGGCCAGTTTCCAGTCAGATGGTCGCGGCCTGGTCCGCCCAACCTCTGGCTCCAGATCAATGGGAGTGGCCTCCGGGAAGTGTGCCTCAAGCAGAGTGATAGCTCTCTCTTCCAGGCTTCAAGTGTAGGTGCCGTCACTGCGTTTAAGTGCAAGTTCCGTTTCCACCGTTCCTCTAGCTAGAACCTTGTATTCGAAAGGTATTCGAAATACCTTCACAGAATGTTCTAAAGCTGGTTCTCTTCGCCTTCCTAATCTCTTTGCTGTAGATCGTTAGCTTAGCTGCATACTCATCCCAGCCTCCCGTGCGCTTGGCCTTGTTGAAGAGTCAGCGCACTTTCCGGAGCGCTGAGAGCTCCCTTGACCACCACGCGTTTTTGGATGCCAGGTTTGGTTTGGTCTCGGGGCAGCTGTAGTCAAAGGCGTCGGTCATAATGTTCGTTAGCCTGTTAACCTTATTTTCTAGCGAAATGTTCCCTCTCGAAACCCGGTAGGTTCAAAGCTAAAAGCTCTCTATATTTGTCCCAGTTGGCGTTTCTGGGGTTCCTCATCGGAGCGTAGGCCTTGACCTCCGCTCCCAGCACGAATTGGATAATTCTATGGTCAGATATGGAAGGCTCCGTGGACACCCTCCATTGTCTGACCAGATCGTTACCCATATTGTTGCTGAGTGTCAGATCAAGGACCTCCTGCCTTACTCTAGTGATGAATGTCGGGCTATGTCCCACATTAGTTATACTCAGATCTTCACTCAATATATATTTTAGTAACGACTCACCCCTTCTGTTAGTGTCGGAACTTCCCCACTCAATGTGGTGAGCATTCGCATCAGCGCCGAGGATTAGTGGAAGTCGGGCCTTTCTGCAGTGCGTCACCAGTCTTTGTACCTCTACAGGGGGTATGTTGTTGGTGTCCCCTGGGAAATAAGCGGCAGCGAAGACTAGGTCCTTGGGTCTTCCGTCCACCCTAAGCGTCACCTGCACTACCACTAGATCTTGTGTTAGGAACTCTGTAATGCAAAAATAATCAATATTGTTCTTAAGCACTACACATGCTCTGGGGCTCTCAGCAGAGAGGTCCCATATTACCTTATTTCTTACCCCTTCGAGGCCCCTTACCTGGCCTCTGTAAGTCCCCGGCTCCTGAATAAGTAATATACTCAGATCGTCCGTCGAAAACCTGCTTGCAATTACAGCCGAGGCTGCAATCGCATGATGCAGATTGATCTGGGCTACTTTCAAGGGCGGTGGGTGCCTCATCATTGCTCGTCGAGGTCCGAGAGCTGTAGATCGCCCTCGCTTCTACCGTCGAGTTCGAGCCGCCTCATATCTAGACCCTCCAGCAGCTCCTGTGTAGAGTGGACTTGCCCCTGCATGAGAGCCGCCCAGCTCTGCTCACCGGTGCCTCCTGGGCTCGAAGGTTGGGTTTGAGGTGTAGGCTGATGGGCCGACGCGCTGCCTGTCTCCGTTGGAGCAGGGGGATTACCACCTACCTTGGTCCCCTCTTCGCCCCCCTCCTTCTCGCCCGCTGACTTCTGTCGCCAGCGCCGCATTGTGACAAAGCTGAATCTGTAGTTCAGCTTGAATCCGGCCCTTCTGGCGCTACAGTACGAATCTTCGTCGATGCCTACATTAAGACGTAGACCGTTGTCCTCTATGACGCTCGAAATAACACGCCACGCAGGGGTGTTGAGCCCTACGTTTAGCGCCCTCAGCAACCCAAACGCATAATCTGACGATTTGTCAGCACTTCTCGGCAGGAAGATGGACATATTGTGCATTACGATATGTCATCGCCACGTTTGACACACAATACGGCCCCCATCCAGCTTTTTAGTTTCGGTGCAGCCTCCTCTAGCCATTTTGCCGTGCCCTCGTCTTTACAGTCCACTAGCAACATGCCGCGACGGAAGTATACTCCGCAGAACGCCAGCAGTGGGCGCCACCCCTTGAATACCTAATCCGTTATAGCGTCCTGTAGGGTAGTCAACTCCTCGGGACTCAGCGCCTCCGCAAGGTAGTCTCTAGGCAGTACCGCCACCCTGATGCCCCTAACAGCATCCGAGTAGCTAGGCGTCTGCCCTCCCCCACCCCGCGACGACGTTGGTTCCCAGTGCCTACCCTTGGGTCCCGATTCCTGAGGTGGTGGCTGCTCCCGTTGATTCTTCGGATTGGGAGTCTGGGGTGTTAAATGCCCGCTCTTCCGCTTTGCAGCGGGTGCGCTCTCGTCAGACCCCCTTTCCTTCTTACCTTCGTCGCTATTCTTAACGTCTCTGCGATCATGCCCACTCTTCCGCTTTCCAGCGGGTGCGGTCTCGCCGATACGCCTGTCTTGGTGGTGTCCCTTACCCCGCTTATCAGCGAGTGCGTCCCTACCTTTATCACTGTTGTGCCCACCCGTGCGCCTGTCGGCGGGTGTGGTCTGTTTGCGAGAGTACTCTTGCTTGTTGTACTGATGCCCGCCCTTCCGCTCGCTCGCGGGTGCGGTCGCTTTATTCTGCCCTGAGGACGGTATGGCAAGGGCCAGTTCCCTAGCCACCTCGGGTGTCTTACCTTTTTGCAGGTACCTCACATACCGTTTCGAGGCTGCCCCACTGAGGCCAAGTCGCCGGCGGTCATCTAGGGCGCCTGGTTGCCCCAGAGGCGGGAGTGTGGGTGGTTTGCCCGCCTATCCCGGTGGCGTTCTTTCTCTTGCCTCGTAGAGTCACGAGATGCCGTGAAGCTACGGCTGCGGGACCTATCCCGCTGAGAGCATGGTAGACGCCTGAGCTTGTGCTGGGTTCCTCGTCATCTTTTGCATGCTCTATAAATAGAGCTGCCTCAGCATCGGAGAGACTATTTAGGAAGTTCTTCCTCCGAACCTCTTGGGTGCTGAATTTAGGCTTAGTGTTAGTGGCTTTCTTTTCTTTCTTTTGCTCCTTGGTAGCCTCTTTGGTTGTATTTGTGTCATTTTCTTCTTTTTGTTTTTTGTTGTTGTTTTTGTATTGATTTTCTTTAGTTGTATTCATCTTGTTCGTACGACCGCGTGTCTGACTCGCCAGACGTAGCAGTCTATTGGTAATAGGGGGATCTCGTCGTCCGCCGCGCCAGCGCCCCTAGTCGCGGTAAGGCCACCGTTATTCCTCGAGGCGGCCCGGTGTCGAGATGCGCCGTTCTAATGCAGCCGGTTTCCCTCCTGGCTGCAAACCGTCCAATGGGCACGGTGTCGCGTCACACCTTGGATTAGGAGGTGGCAGTTGTTGGTCACCATCCGCCAGCGGCCCTAAGCTGAGTCAGGGTAGCGCGGATGCTACGAGAGCATTCGCGTTACCCTAATCCAGAGGAGGACCGGTAGACGATTTGGCTAAGCCCCCGCACCAACGACAAGGTGCCTGCCCAGCGGAGGTTACTGACTGTTTATATATTAAATTTATCTTCGTTTTGCATAATTTTTTCTACAATTCCTATCAAACGATAGCAAAAACAAAAAAAGAAACTTTAATGAACTATGTGTTAGTTTAAATATACACTGCAGTCTCTCATGATCTCGTCAACTAAAGGAACATAAGGAACTTTTCTATCCGACTGCTTGACACCTGAAACAAATCGAAATTTGATTTCCCCTTTTAATGTGCCTTATTTGAGCGCATAGTGGGATAAATCCCTTTTGTGTCAAAAATTTGTTGGCAAACATATGCTCGCTAATGATTGTCAGTGTGCCATGATTTTTGTTAATTTTAAGATTGCTTTTTTTCTTTTTAGATTCACAGGCTTGGTGTCTTCAAACTAAAAACAATAGCACCAAAAAACGTACCAAGCACCAAACTCAAAAACTTTTGCGTTTTGAATAAAGAAAAGCACTAAATTTAGTGCGAAAAGCACCAAGTTGGCCACAGTGCTAATTATGCTATAGCATCTTCTTTGAAAAGCAACCCATTAGAGGAATGGGAAGATATGCGCACTATATTTCCACAGCTATATGAGCAAGCCCGTCTATACATAACGGTTGTTGCGTCAAAATAAATAATCAAATAAAAAAACCTTTTAACCGCCTTTCAGGAAAACACTTTTAAAATTGATGCTCTTAGGAAATATAACAAAAAAGAAGTTCTTTTCTTAAACTTATTTTATATGAAATAACTTTAAAGGGTGAACACACCAAAACTGCGACACTTAGAAATTACTACCAGAAACAAACTAGAAGGCTTTGAAATTATTTTTTTTTGTATTATATAACTTGGAAGTTTAGATGTTATTAAAATGTTAAAATATTAGTTATTATTTGCCCCATATGCAAGTGATCGGTATTTTCATCGCACACGCGCCATCATGTTCTGCACGACTGCATCATCGACATTACGCGATGCGCACAACTACTTTGTTTTGCACTCTTCAATAATTTTCACTCGTTCACCTGTTTTCTTCAAGATACCTTTGACAATTGACCAATATTCCCCAATAGGACGTGGCTCTGGGCTATTGGGTGGATTGCAGTCGTGAGGTACAAAATTTATGTTATTTGCATTATACCACGGCAATGTGTCCTTGGCATAGTGGCAGGTTGCCATGTC